ATGACCCTCTCCAGTGTATTCTAGAATGTTCCCAAGGGCGGACAATATTGTAATTGTGCACTATTTTAGAGTCTTCATGTAATAAATGCGAGTAGTTGGTAAATGAGGAGATACCGTTAGATTGAGAAGATATCTTTGGCCATGGTTAGGCCAATACTTGTATATAAATGGTCTCCTCCCTTCATTTATATCATCTCATTCTCACAAATAATACAAATCTAGAACTTCTTTCTCTAGAGTTTATCTCTATAAAGATTATTGTAAGCGAGTAAGTGTGGAAAAAGCTAACTTGGAAAGAAATTCCTAAGGCTGCATGGGTAGGGGAACGCTAGATCGATTGACCCGTAACAAGTGGCATAAGAGCAAGTCAATCCTAGGTGCAATAGATCCACATTTCGATGTATCATTCGTCCAGACTGAGAAGGGCGTGGGCGAGGATCATGGGAGGGCCACCAAGAGACAAGGTGTCAAGGCAAAGAAGGGTTGTAGTAGCTCAAGTTTGAGGGACATGCTAGGTGACTTGGAGAACTGCGTGGCGAAGATGGAGATCGTCATCGCGGACGTCAAAGGAACAGTCAAGGAATTGTCTGTGAGAATAGAAGGGGGCGAGACCGAAACAGGGGAGCTCGAGGCCGAGGTGCAAGAGCTCAAATCTGGCATGGGAGAACTTCGAGGGGAGATTTTGGGCAGCCTGACCTACACGTCCGAAGAACTCCGGCAACGGGATGATGCCTTGAAGGCCTTGGTGGAGGCCATGCGTGCGGAGATGGCTGAGCTCAAGGCAAAGCTTGCCGAATTGGAAGTGGCACGTGTGGACAGGGTGGTCATCTTGCAAATCGATCCGCAAGTGGGCGCCACAAAGCCAAAGAAGTTCAAGGGCTCACGGGTGACCAATGATGTGGACAACTTCCTTTGGTACATACAGCGGTACTTCCAAGCGATGGGGATCACCAATGGAGTGCTTCAAGTAAGTACCATGGCCATATATTTGATTAATAACGTACTACTGTGGTGGCATCGTAGGTCCGATGATAGGAGTGGTGAGCCTATCACAACTTCAGAAATGTTCGTCAATGACAATATTATCCCGCTTATGTAGAAGAGGAAGCTCGAGATGAACTCCATCACCTAGCGCAAAAGGGAGGAGTTCAGAAGTACGTCAAGAAGTTCTCGAAGTTACTGCTTCAAATTTTGTCCATGAACGATACGAAGGCCTATTACCAATTCATGGATGGCCTCAAGCCATGGGTGAAACAAGAATTGAAACGACATAATGCAAGGGATCTCTCAACGGCCATGTCCGTGGCTAAGACCCTTGTGGAGTACAAGGCGACTTTCGGAAACAAGCCGGATTCCCGACCGAAGAATAAGGCTATTGGTGGGGGAGACACTTACAAATTTCACCACTCAAGTAGAAACAAACCACCAGTGGTCCCCGCAAAGGTGAAAGTAGAGTCAAGCGGAGGAGAGCACGAGAAGGGAGGTATTTTCAAGTGTTCCCAGTGCGACGGTGCACACGTGGCTCGTGATTGACCAACCCGAGACAAGCTTGTGATGCTTGTCAAGGAACACGAGTAGGAACAAGAGGAGACGCGACTTGGTTCGTAGCGGATCCCAAGTTCGATATCCAAAAATGCGAACAAGCCCAAGTGACTCATGTTCGCGGATGATACGATTGGAGAAACCACGATGGGTGCCATCATACATATTGGGGCATCCGATCTCTTCATTTTAGAAGAGGCTGCAAAGAAGCTCAACCTTCGAGTCGAGAAAGGAGCTGGGTGGCTCAAGATGGTGAACTCTAAGGAGGCCCCAACAAGCGGGATGGTTAGGGACGTGGAGCTTTATATTAGATAATGGAAGAGCAAGGAGACGATCGAGGTAATTCCATTCGATGACTATAATTTCATTATTGGTTTGGGTTTCCTCGATAAAACAGATGCTCTCATTGTCCCATTCATCGATTGCATTTGCATTTTGGACACACGATACCAATGTGTGGTCCTGGTCAAATGAGATTCGGGTAGTGATCGAAAGATGCTTTTGGCAATACAAGTCTCTAAAGAAGTAAAGAAAGGGGAGGTAACCTTCTGGGCCAATTTGAAGGTCGAGGACCATAAGGGAGATGGGAATGTGGTCCCAACAGAATGACCCAAGTCCTCGACTTGTTCAAGGACATGATGCCTTTTGAATTACCTAAGAAGCTACCGCCTCGAAGGGAAGTGGATCATCTGATTGAGCTGGTGCCCGATGCTCAATCACCTGTCATGGCACCCCACCGCATGGTGCCCCTTGAGTTGGAGGAATTGCGCAAACAACTGAAGGAATTGATTGATACTAGATACATCCGACCGTTGAAGGCTCCGTTTGGCGCTCCGATCATGTTCCAAAAGAAACATGACGGTTCACACCCTATGTGTATCGACTACCGAGCACTGAATAACCTAACGATCAAGAACAAATACCTGATTCCGCTCATCAGCGACTTGTTCAATCAACTTGGAGGAGCGCAATGGTTTACGAAGTTGGATCTTCGATCGGGCTACTATCAAGTTCGGATAGCTAAGGGAGATAAGTCAAAGACCGCACGTGTGAGCCGATACCGCTCATATGAGTTCCTGGTCATGCCCTTCGGCTTAACCAATGCTTCGGCCACTTTCTACACCTTGATGAACAAGGTACTCCACCCATTCCTTAATCGTTTGTTGTGGTTTACCTAGATGACATTGTGGTGTATAGCCGAACGTTTGAGGAACATATCAAGCACTTCAAACAGTTCTTCCAAGCGATGAGGGAGAATGACCTGTACTTCAAGCGCAAGGAGTGCGCCTTCTCACAAAAGGAAGTGCCATTCTTGGGCACATTGTCAGGGGTGGACGAGTGCATCTGGATTTGGCCAAGATCCAAGCCATTGTGGACTGGGAGCCGTCGACCAGGGCAATGGAGTTAAGATCGTTTCTTGATCTCACTAGCTACTACAAGCAGTTCATCCGGAACTACTTGAGTATCACCGTGCTACTCACTGACCTGCTGAAAAAGGAGAAGCTGTGGGAGTGGACGGATCAGTGCCTAAAGGTGTTTGATTGGCTGAAGCAAGCAATGATTGAGGAACCGGTGCTCGTGTTGCCCGATCATACCAAGCCTTATAAGGTAGAGACTGATGCTTTTAATTATGCTATTGGTGGTGTTCTTATTCAAGATAGACACCCGATGGCTTTCAAGTTTATGAAGTTTAAGGAAACTGAACGGCAATACACAGTCTAAGAGAAGGAGATGACTGAGGTGGTGCATTGCTTTCGTACGTGGAGGCACTATCTTTTGGGATCGCGGTTCTTTGTATAGACGGATAACGTGGCCACGAGCTATTTCCAACTGCAAAAGAAGCTGAGTCCAAAGCAAGCTCGTTCGCAAGATTTCAAGACGGAGTTTGACTATATGCTAGAGTACAAGCCTAGGAAGGCCAACTCCGTGGTCGATGCACTAAGTCGAAAGATGGAGCTGGCCACTGTCAGTCGACCCGAGTGTCCAAGGACTGAGCAGATCAAAGAGGATGAAGCATGACCCAACCGCCAAGGCGGTTCTTGAGTATGCATGGCAGAGAAAGACTTGACAATTTTGGTGTGAGAGCAACCTACTTTATTAAATTGCATCATAACTTGCGTAAATCGAAAATGTGCACCACGGCAACAAAGTGCGCGGGTCATCGACAAATAGCAATCATTCGATTAAGAGACCAGCGTCGGTTAAGGTTTGTCAAACGGCCAGAATCTTGATTTTGCTGTTTATATAGATGCTGAAATAATCTTTGTTTGTTAATATAGTAATTTGGTTTCAACCCTCGTTTATGGGTTATTTTTCATTTTATGTAAAGAAAACATCTTTTCCATCTTCGCAGGGCCACTTGTCGAACTCGAAAGAATCGAAAAGAGCTAAATGTTTTATCCGTTGATAATTGTCCCTTTTTGGATGGAGGGAAATTTGTTTGAGGATATTTTTTTTTTCCCAATAATCAACCCAAAGGAGAAAAATAAATCTTCAACTTCAAAAATATCATTAACATAGCATTGATAAACCTATCGAGTACTGGGTGTTATGTCGAAGCTGGCATTTGTTTGGGCTCTTTTGATTCCTTCTATGACTAAGTCCATCCCGTTTTCAGTGAGAAGATTTGATATTACATTCCGAGACTAATCAAATGATAAATTTACCATAAAAGGGAGTCTTTAAAATAAGAGTGACATAAAAAGATACGTTGGATAAGAGCAACCAGGGAGAAGAGGCTAATTTTTCTTTTCAAAACAGGGTTTAAGTTGTGAAAACTCACAATAAGCAAATATCTACTAAACGTAAAGGAATTGTGTAAATATGGAAACCATCGAAGACAATTTTGTCTATCTAATGAGAAAAAAAAGACTGAATATAGAGGGTGGAAATAGCATCACTTTTTTTTTTCTAATCATATTTCCCAAATTATAAGGTAGGTTGAATCTTTTGTTTCTATGGTGTGTTCGTTTCGAGGAAAATAAGTGATTTGAAAAATAATTTTCAAAAAATAATTACTTGTATTGCTTACAAAAATAAATAAATGGAAAAAATTTTAATTGCCCACGAAAATAATTAGGCATAGATTTTTATCGATGATGAAATATTTTCCGTCGACTAATTTTTCTAAACAATATAAGCAATTATTTTTTGGAAAATATTTTCCAAATCACTCATTTTCCGTGAAACAAACACATCTTAAGCACTCTTGCCTAGAATAAGGCCGATTCTGCTCACTCTGCATGGGGTACTTTAACAACTTAACCACAAGAATAGATACATATAAATTTATCTCCGTAATTGGATAATCCATTTTGATTAGACCTTAACTTTCCAAGATCAATTCATAGACAGGTTCTTGGTGGTAGCTGGGTATCGATATACTCCATGAGAAATTGCTAAGAGTTATTAAGGAATAGTAACTTTGAAAGCCTAATATCCGCAACACACTAAGAAACTTCCAAAATGGTCAAAATGATTTATATGCGTCATATAATTAGGCAATTCATGCAAAACCTCATCTATGGTAACTTGCTATAATACATTTCGATCATTGTTATAAGTTACGTTACTCGGGGATCTCCAGTAAGCAAACCTTGTTCGAGGAACATATATTCAGACAACTTAATAGAAGGGAACAGCGGATCTCACGTGAGTTGGGAGACGAAGGGGTGACATCCACCCACTCTTTGTCGACCAGCTCGACATGTGCGTTTGGCTTCACTGCGGCGTCAAACTGAAGTTTGTTCGTCTCGGTCATCAACTTCTTCAAGAAATCCATGGAGAATATGATGTCGGGGCTTTCCTCGGAGAACAGTTTATCTTCTACGACCTGAATGCCCACGTCTGCTTCCCTAGAATGAACATACCCAAGAAGCAGTGTCCTCGTATCGAGAAATTGTCGATTGGTGCTACAAATCTGCGGCGTTACCACATTAAGGATCACATATATAATTCTCATGATGTAAAAGGAGCGTAAGAAGTGCATCTCAGAGTACATGATGATTCATCTGTGGATGTCCCAGCAGATGCGGATACATGTGGATGCTCGTGGAAACATGCATGGACAATATAGGTACACAACCTCTAATGGAATTATGCGGAAGAAGAAAACAATTTGCTAAATCAGCAGAATAACAACAAAGTAGCATAGTGATCCATTTTGGAACATGTTTTCATGTCGATCTATATTTCCAGTCTAACCAATGTGATGAAATTCATGACATGAAGGAACCTTCTAGTGCAAGATCATTCTTTTGGAGCTCATACTATGCAACCTAATACAAATGGCTGACCACCATTGGGATTTGCAGATAAGATCACCGCTACTAAATGCTACCTATGCACTCTGTTCACCACTCCCTGGACTTTGTATCATGCAAAGAGATCCAAGAAATGTAACGCACCTGTATATATTCCACACCAATTTTACCAAGATTATCAGCAATACTTTCTGATGAAATCAAACTTAAAATTCCTCCAGATCCTATTGGTGATTGGAGCATCTCCCAAGGAGATTTCATCAGAATCTTATGCCTCTTCTGTTCATCTGGACAGCCAACCACTGGCAGCATCTGTTCTTTCAAAAACCAAACCTGTCCAATATGATTAAATATAATTGCTTAACTTTTGCGTCATTTAAAAATTATGAAATTGTGTAGGCTCTCCATATCAGATACATCAAGTCATCAACAATAACATCGCATGCACAATCACAAGATCCTTGTGAACTTTATAGATATTCGCTGGTCCAGCAAGTTCGGCTGGCTGAACTGAAAACCTAGATGCCACAACTGGCTAGAGACTGTCACTTTTAAAACCCGTGTAGAGTGACATTATCATTGTATAGTACTTTAGCTACACAGGACATCACCATCTGAACTGTTTTGCAATTGATTTAAAAATTCTTATCAATGAACAGGAAGGCATGTTGATTTCAAATATTTAAGCTGTTTAATGATAGAACATGAGATGAGCGCTAACCTTCTCAGAGTCAAATCCAAAATAATCATTCTCTGAGAATAACTTTTGGAAAGATAGGATTTCACCAGCCGGGCAGATCATTAGTAGAGGCATAGATGCACGGTCTTCTTCCTGCAGTGTTACATGTTTGTTAAGCTAGTTGATAAATAGCATATACTGAGTACAGCCAGCCTGTCCAAATAGAAAAAGTTTAGCCCACTGTTTGTTATATGAAAAATAAGCCATAAGGAAGCATCCTGACTTCCCTTAACTCTCCAAAGTAATAACCAGACTTGCAGTTACCAAACTCATGTACCAGTGAATCTCATGCATAGTTCTAGACCTGTTCACTTATTTTTCATATATTCCATAAATCTCACATGGTCGACTGCATAGATCTCTCATGGATGACAAAAAATAGGTTGAAATCCTCAAGGACCACAGGTTATTAACAAGTGAGAAAAGATATACGATCATGTAATAACTTTGATCACTCATGTTAATAAGCAGAGATGTAACACTAACATCAGATCCGAGAGATATCTTCTTCATTTTAGCTATAAAACCGCATAAGCCCTTTTTAATGAAATGAGACTGCAATAGTAAGTTTTTCAAAGGCAGGTGCGAGATCTATATAAAGTGTAAGGAATCAGTTTAGTGTTGAGAAGCCATCAACCACACCAGCAGCTTTCAGAGGATTCAACAACACTGTCAATATCTATAAAATTACAGAATAGATCTTTGGTCTTCCAGCATAAATGAGGAAGGCCTATATTAAGTAACGGAAATTAAGTTTCAAAAACTAAAACAGGGAGAAAAGATACGATCCCGGTCTGGTCTGGTCAAACAGCTTCAGGGCAAACAAATAGCGTTCATTAGTAAATGTTCTATAACTTAGCCCACTAGATACTGATAAAAATGACTTTAAGTCAAAAGATACAATAGAGTGTTAATGTACTTAATGAACTGAAAAAGCCCAAAAATGAACCAGTATCTGAAACTATGGTAATAGCTGCCAGACATTTTCACCTCACTCGAATCCAATTTGACAACGGCTCTCATTTAGTGAAATATTTCTCTACATTACAGTCAATCATCTCAACCAGCCAGTGGGGCAGCACCCCCTTTCAAATTTGGTGGGACCATCCTTGTTTTATCTGACCTCAATTTTTCCTAGCAAACCAAGTGATGATAATATAAAAGGAGAAGTAAGAGAAGGTTACATAATCCCTTCCAATCAGAAGTTGTGTAAGCAATAAAAGGTATTAATCTCATGACAAATCAACTTGAAAAAGCCAATGGAAATATTCAACCAAAAAACATCCTCTATATAAAGAAACTGGACAAAAAACCTCACCTTCACTAGCTTCTGATTAGTACAATCTAATGTCTGAACAAGAGACTTGGACAATATAGTAGGGTCAGAGGCCTCCTTAGCATTATTAGTCACAACCAAGACAGTGGCAACTTTGCCCTTCGAAATCAGATGAAGCCCCTTCTCTTCAAAAACAGAATTTACACACTGTTTATCCATCCTTACCAAAGGAGTGAGGTAGTTTTCTGATGTTGTCAGAGCATCATAAATGTTGGTTCTTGTAGCATCAGCACTCCATCTGATTCATGACATGAGACAAAGCAGAATATGTTTGATAGAAATAGTTGAGACATAAGGACAAAAGTAAAAATCCTTACCGTCAGCTTCACCAGTGGAAGCACAAAATACCATTGCATTTACAATGTGATTGATATAAGTAACATTTCAAGCAGTCTTTGCATAGAAATCAAGAACATGATAGAAAAATTATGTTAATGAAATATTCAATCAGGAAACAGGTTCAAGAAGTTGTCATATCTGATCAATAGAACAAAAGCGACAACCACAATTTTAGCCAACCATAATCATGTTAGACACAAAGATGGCATGTCTGACAACATTTTTTATGCCTGTCTGTTTTATCACTGAATGATGAACGACTAATTTACATATTTTCTCTACTAGGGCCAAAAAAAAAAACACACACACACACACACTACACATGCTCTAGAAAGTGACTCAATCAAACATGCGCAGCAGCTTACCTTTGAGAGGATAGGTCTATATTTTGCAAAGCCTGTTGAAGCAATTTAGAGTTCACTCCAACAATCTGATCTGCAAGTAAGCTTGTTTGGGTTTTATCACCATATCTAAACCCATGAAACACATGTTGTTGCTCCAGTTCACATAACTTCTTTTTTGCTGCTATGAGGAGTTTTCGGAACTTTTTCCTTTCTTTCCATTCCTGAAATGCATCAAAGCATATCTAACTTACACTGGTTACAACAGATACCATATTTCAATAAATAAAACCGGAAATTTTACTGTGCAACGGCAGCCACAAGCACATAAAAATTCATACATTACAGAATAAGCAAAGAAATTTGATCTAAACTTCTATGTTTATTTATATCATGATTCCATTTGCCATATGCTCAAAGGTTTGTTAAATAATTTCACTATAAGCGAAGTTCAAAGAGCATAGCTCCAAGAGAACAATGTGTTTTCTCGTATTTAATAGGCTGCACTATGAATATGCTACTTTAGTCTTATCTATATACATACTATGCAGTCTGTACATCTTTCATTTCTTTCATCATATTCCTGCCTTCTAATTAAAGAATGAGGTGAATTTGTGACCTTGACCACCAATATATGATCTTTCTAGTTAGGTCTGCCTTGCTGTTCAAATGTTATATGACACCTGAAAGTTAATTTTCAAGCTATGCCATCCGTCTCTCTTTTCATGGTTCTCAAAATGGACTCAAGTCACCTACCTGACAAGAGAAGACTAACTTTTGTTTGGACAGATATATTGCGATAAATCCAATCAAGACGCAAACAAGAGAAAGCATTTGCACTCCAGAATATGGGCATAACAGAGAATGAGAACCCCAATTCCAAAGGCCCAATAGAAAGAAGAGGAAAAAATGTAAACATCCAGAAGCAAATTTATGTACCGCTATGAACATGGTGAAAACAGATGTCTAATGAAATTTCCATTAAGCAATAGTTGAAACATACAACCCAAACAAGCACAAAAAGAAAGTGCTCTCACAAGTTGGCGCCTCTCTTTCTTGGACTTCTCGTGGGTGCGCAAATTTAACTCGAGTAGCCCTTTTGGAGGTGTGATCATCATTTCTCCTCTATCCATGTCAACATGTGGAACGATTGCTTCAACGAATGGCACCCAGACAAAGTGATTGGAGGCACCAGTTTCTGCTAGCTTTGACTTTCCAGCGCCATCAGAACTATCAAGCATGACATGCAAAAGATCACTTGCTCCACTGTTGTAGACATTAACAACTGTTCCAATGGGTTCACCAGATTCCTGAAATGGGCCAAATGAGCACCATCGTGAATGGTCCCTTAACATATATACATAAGATAAAACTGCATCCCAACCTTGAGGAGAACTCTCATGCCAACAAGATCACGAGTATAGAATTCGCCTTTTTCAAGCACTGGTCTATCTTCTTCTCTTACAAGTAATGCTGCACCAACAAGTCTCTTAGCCTGGATGGAGTTTAAAATCCTGATTAGAAGTACAAAATGGAAAGATAATGAAGTAGTTAGTAACTCTTACCACAATATTCTACCCAAATTAGCAAAATGAAAAACTGAGTTACTCTCCTGCTCATAATTAGGAGATATGTTGGGGTTCACTCATCAATATTGAGTAGATAACACACAGAAAGATTCCATAACATCATGGCATATTGCTTAGCTTTTTCTTGTCTAGGCTGCAACTATCAGGGCAATTAGTAATAAAGTCCACTATATATATTTTCTAGCTTTCATGAAACTGTGCATCAAGCACATGCGCTTGAGACATTATAACATTACAAGGAAAAACAAGTATCAATTTACCTTCTCAGGATTTTTTTTTTAAACGGAAACCATTATATCTGAGACTGTGGCCTGACGTTCATGCCATATCCAGCAAACAGATATTCAGAATTAGGGAAAAATATCCAAACAACCCAACGTGTCATGCATGTATAAAGCCTTTGCAATGGGACAATGCCTACCATGTATTCAGCTATTTCAGGCTCAGGCCCAGTACTGCGCATAGTTGCATCACTAGGGCTACTGTCTAAAAAGATCTCTACTAGAGTCATCCTTCTTGACAACCCTAATGGTTTCCAGGTCAGATTCCCTTAATATTTAACAAGGAAGATGAACGGAAGTGTCAATGCTAATAAGTAGTACAAGGACTAAAATTGCAGAATTATAGTGCATAGATATAGCTTATGCCCCACAGTACAAGGTTGTTTGCCCACCTAAAAACTTAATCATGATCAATGAAGCCAAGTCTTAGTTACATATAATTCAATCCAAGATCCAAGTATGTTGCAAGTAAAATACTAGAGAAACAACACAGATTGTAAATATATGCCCGTCCGGATTGAATTTTATATTTTGCTTTACCTAAATCTTGTGGCTCACACACTTTAACCTTTTTTCTTAAGTTCATAGTATATCTCAGATTTTAGCAGGAAAGCCAAAAAGTACTTTTTGCTTTAGCTTAAGTGTAAACAAACAGGCCTTTTGGACAAGCTCACCTGTTCCACATTGTCAATTCCTTCAAACTTGAGTAGCCAACTTTTCTGCCCAGGGTATCCTCTTCCCTCTACCAACTCCACTTCTTGAATTGTCTCCTTGCCTAAAACCTGTTGCTTCAACCATCTTTTCCCAGTCTACTAGAAAAGGAATTGGTTTTGGTATTAAATATTGATGCATACAGAGATCTATAACCTTCTCACATGTAAGGTCACAAAGCTACAAATTGATAGTAAGAATATGTTTTACCCGAGAAAATCGCAGTTCAGGGAAGTCGGTGCTGGATTTGACACAGATCTCCCCTTGCAGCCCATGAACACTTGATATATACCCAATTTCAACAAGGCCTGATTCGGTTGTACTAGTTTCAACTGTTTCCTGGATAACTGCATGGTATAAGAAATTCTTACAAGGAATTACATTAAAAGGCATGCCAGAACTAATTCAAGAATGAGGCAATCAAAACTATAAACTGAAGAAGGGCGTAGAAGCACAGCCATTAAAACTTCTCAATTCAACAGAACGTTGACATGATGGAGGGTCTTATATGGTGATAAGAATAATGGTCTTGCGAAAAACTAATATGCAACCTACAGAGCCTTTACAATATCACATGACATTTTAAACCAACGAATTCCATGGTCTACCAGCTCAATATGCACCTAGTTCAGGAAATAAAGTATAGCTACAATTTCGAATGGACAATATGGACCTATCCAAGAATATGGACCAATGCAACAAGAAATGCGGAAAAATTAAGCATACCCATAAAATAGGAGAATGAATTAGGCTCCTTCTCAAAGCCTACTTATCTCAAATTATCAATTGCCCCTTGAGTTGATGATAAGTGGATGTCATGTGATATGTTGGCATACTTTTTGGGGTGTATCTTCTCATAATTTAACCTTTTGAGACAAACAATTGTCTAAGATGAAAAGAAAATTAACTCCACAGGGAATATCATCGTAAAGCAAAATTAACCAGATTGCCAGCTCGACCTCAAGCTTCCCGCAGCAACCGACGACAAAGCAACATTTGCTAACCAGTTTTGCATAGAAGACAAGCCCGTGGGTTCTTGTCCACGTGCGCGTGTTTATCTTGCCCATTAATCACACGAAGCAGCGAGAAAGACCGCACAAAGGAGTTACCAATTTGAGAGGGGAGGGACTGACATTCACACATACATATATTCCTCCAGCCTTAACACACAAATCACATTCAAAAGCAAAGTAAAAACTACTCAGTAACTAGCGAAAAAAGCACACGCGACACACACGACCTATGTCCACGACAAAGAAACTATATAGGCATCCGACGAAATCAATTCCCTACAAAAAGCAAGTCCCCAGCGAGAACGAACCGACCACGTCCTATATGCACACGACCAAACAAAGGCGAAAGACTCGATTTTTGGACAACAGATTCCCAAATGCTCGGTTCAGAGTTCTCGAATCTTCTCACCGAATTTCATCGCTTTCCACTACCAACACTACAAAACACGCTGCTCAATCGACTAAAATCGATAATAATAAAGAAATTAAAAAAAAAACACGAGACTGGACTCGGAGCTAATCAGGTAATCGCCGAACCGGTGCTCTGCAGAGGAGAGGCAACTCGCGGTGGCCCGGCTGGCGAGCGCCGCGACGACAACCGAACGCGACAGGGAGACGAGGCCGAGGCCGCGCGGTGGAGGTGGTGCCGAATACCGGCGGCGTGACTCGGACTGGGAGCGAAGGATTGCGGCGGCGGCGGCGGCGGCGACAAGGCGTTGGAAGAGCAAAGAAGCGAGCTCGCCGTCTGCATCGTCGTCGCTGGCTGGAAGCAGAGAGACTAGAGTGAGAGAGAGAGAGAAGAGGTCGAGCGAAGAAGACGATAGATTTTTTGCCCGCGTCTTCTTTCTGTAACAACAGTCGTCTTTTGGGGGCAAAATTACAAAAATGGGCTCGAAGTGGAGTTATTTTTTCAAATAAGAATTTAAAGTGGACCTTGTCTCAAATCAAGATTTGAAATACCCTTATCTTGCGTTTGGTCGACCGGATAAAAGTCGGGATATGATATGTTTTATCACTATCACTGTGTTTGGTGGTGGTCCAAGATAGGATAAGGTGGATATAAAGGATATAACTTGGATAAAAATAGGGGAGGGTGGGATAGACCTAGGATAGGATTCTAATGCCTATTTTTCCATAAACCCTACGCTCCACTCGCCGTCATCTTCATCCCCATACCTTGTGCGATTTCACCAAAAAAATTTCTCGGCTTTTTTTCCTTCACTGACTCCTCCTGGACCCATGAATAGAAAAAATAAAAATAAAAATTATCCTATCCGACTTTAAATCGTAGTCCACCAAACAGTGGACATGATAGAAGAAATTCCAAGATTTCTTATCCTATCCTATCCAATCCTATCCCGTTTAGAAATCCGAACGACCAAACGCATGCCTTAGTTTCTCAAATAAGGGTTTGATGTGGTCATATCGTCTCGAATAAAAACCGACTTCAGGCTAAAGAGTGTTTTCGTTTTTTTTTTACTTTTTTGAATTTTTTTCTTTCTTTTTTTCTTTTTCTATTTTTCTTTTCCTTTTTTGTTTCCCTCTCTTCCCTTCGCCAGCCATCGTCGGGACCAGCGGAGGTCGCTGGCCTCAGGTGGAGGCTGCCCTCGCCTAGGCAAGCAAGGGTTGACCTCGTCGGTGTCGGGCGGGGGCCAGCCTCCTCGCTGAGTGCAGGCGGGTGAGGAGCGCCTCGCACAGTGCGGGCGGGCGAGGGCGACCCTCGCTGGCCCGGACGAGGCTAGCCCTCGCCGAATTTGGCGAGGGTTGCCCTCGCCCGCCCAGCCCAGGCGAGGCGACCCTCGCCCGACACCGACAAAGGCAACCCTCGCCTGAGGCCATCGCCAACCAGGCGCAATGACCACTAGAGAAGAAGAAAAAAAGGAAAAGGAAAACAAAGTGAAAAAAAATCAAAAAAATATACTTATAATTTTTTTTTACTAAAATACCCCTTCTTCGGCGACGGAATAATCACCGGCCGGCCAAAGGCTTTTATTTGAGATGATTTGGCCACTTCATGTCCTTATTTAAGAAAATGACTCCACTTCAGGCCCCTTTTTGGAATTTTCCCTCTTTTGGGTGCAAGATTTTTTTGTTTATGTATCATTCCAATTTCTCTCATTTCTCTTGGGGAAAATTCCTAATAAAGGCGTGAAATGTCCTTATTTTCTTAAATAAGGGTTTAAAGTGGATTTTGTGTCAAAATAAAGGCCTGAAATGGCCACGTCAGTCTCAAGTAAGGGCCCGAAGTGGCCATGTCAATCTCAAGTAAGGGCCCGAAGTGGCCATGACCATTTCAAATAAGGGCCCGACCTCACGGGTCACAGGCTAGCCAAATATTCTGATTGATCTAGGGTATTTTCTTTTGACAGCAATTTTAATTTTAATTTGTCTTTTTCATTTTTTTCCATTTTTTTCTTTTTCTAGTTTGTTCTTCGCCGGTCTAGTCGCCGACCACCGGCGATGCCCATTTGGTCGCCGACCATTGGGTGAGGGTTGCCCTCACCCGATCTTGTGAAGGTCGCCCTCACCGACCTCAGGCCACCGGTGAGGTGACCTCGCCCAAATCTGGTAAGGCCGACCTTACCCAAGCGAGATCGTCCCTCGCCTATGGCCAGCAAGGGTGGCCTTAGCGCCGCCCTTTTCGGGCATCACCGATGGCGAAGAAGAAAGAAAAAATCAGAAAAAGGAAAAAAAATTCAAAAAAAAAGGTAAAAGACGAAAATGTCCTTGATCATCCGAAAAGTCAAGCCACTCTTTAAAGCTGACATAGCCACGTTAGGCTCTTATTTTGAAAAATAAGAGCACTTCATGCCCTTATTTAAGAGTGCCCTTATTTGAGAGGGCTCTTACTTGAGATAATGAGGGCACTTCAAGCCCTTATTTAGAATTTTCCATTTTTCCTTTTATTTTTGAATTTTGTATAGATTTTTTTTTTTTGAAAAAATAGCAACATGTTCATATGATGTTTTCTTTTTAGAAAAATACTCATCAGTAAGAAAAGAAAATGATGCGAGGTTTTTTCAATTATTTCGTGCGATTAAAGCTATTTTCAACCAAAAAAAAAAAACCTATGAATTTTCCGCAATGTTGCACGAAAAATGAAAATTAACGGAGCACACACTTATTATTAGCATGTGCATGAAAACCAATCTCGATTTACATTTATTTGACGACTCTCAATTTGACTACTATTTGATATAAAGTATGTAAAACATTTTAAAACTGCACAAATATGGGCATATATACAAAGATATGCAATTTGCATAATCATTTAAAATTTAAATAAGTCAATAACATATGTTCTACTTAGAGAACCCAAAGAACAAGCATTCACGAGTTGGAACGATTCACAAACTAAATATCGCGTTCAAAGAAAGATGCAATTTTAATATACTTGAGTTTTTGCTGTATTATTCATCTTGGACATTAGTAAGCATTAATCTTAGTATGGAATTGTTTTCGTGGCAATGCCGGGCAACAAATCTTCTTCTTCTTCTTCTTCTTTTGTAATCCAAGGGCACGGGCTTGGAGATTCGGCAAAAACCCGTTGCCTACTCTCTCCCAGTAAAGCCTTCTTCTGCCAGATCTTGAACTGCACATACAAGACTTTGGCCTACATTTCAGATTCAAGATCTTCAAAACCCGACATACTCGCATAGATTTAACGAGCTAGTATGGCGGATCTAAAAAACACACCAGATGGACAGTGCACACTTTATAAGGCGAAGTTTGAAGAAAATCCATTAGCAGCAGCATCACCATGAATAGTCCGTCTCCCATCTACTTGTAGTATAGGACAGCAATGCTATCGTAGCCGATCTATTCATGCTGTGAGTTGTAACAGAAGACAGCAATACTATTGCAGCATGCACAAGATGCAGCAAAAGAAGGATCCCATCTTTCATTGCCCAGCCTATCCACATGTTACAGAAGCAATTGCACAAAAAACACAGGCATTATTTGGGTTACAAAAGGAAGACCGAGCTAGCTTATCTTCTCCATGGAGTTTCTTTGCTGACCAGGGGAATCATTACTTACTGGCACAGCTTATCCCCAGATACTTGTGAAGGGGGTTCCTAATAATCTCCACAGTTCTCGCCAAAAAAGTGAACCTGAATTCAAGAGACCACGTATAATATGCCGCCTGTACCAAAGACCGCTTTCTTGGGCAACGTTGTGTGTGTCGTGATAAATTGGGCGTAGCAGAATGCATTGACCTCGAGTATAAGATTATAAGAGAGACTGTCACCTCAACATGCCTGTTTCTGGTTACAGCATCTTGTGTCTCTCTCTTTGCGTTTTAAGGTCGAGGTCAATGACAAAGTAACATCTCTTGCTCTCTCTAATATAGTGGACCTGACCATTCATTTTGTTGAGAAGTTTCCGCGACAGGTTTAGACCGAGGCCCTCCCGTGTACTTGTACCCCACTGATTCTCTCCGTCAAACATATCATCGATCAGAGCAGAAGGCAGACCTTGCCCGGCATGTATCATCCTACATAAACAAGGAGACAAAAAGATTAGCATGGAAAAACTACTATATAGCGAGGAATAAGACAAACCAAAATTGTAAGTCAGCAAATTATAATAATAAAGACTGGCACAAGTCCAGGCTTCCATGCTGGGGGGCTTATGATACTGCTACCTTTCTGTACAGTATTCCTCAGCTTAGGGGTCTATTGCCTTCTATGAAAAAAACTTTGAAGCTTTCAATCAGGGACAGTTTATTCAAATTGAATCTGCATTATTGCCATCACTTGCAAGGAAAACGTAACTTCACTAAGACTCCGTTTGTTTCGCGGAAATGAATGATCAGAAAAACATTTTCCTAAAACCGATCACTTGTATCGCTTAAGATGAACGAACGAAAAATGTTTTCATCGTCCATGAAAATGTTTAAACATAAATTGTTGTTGGCAATAAAAACATTATTCATTGACTATTAATTTCAAGCGATACAAGCGACCATTTTTAGAAAAATGTTTTCCAAATCATTACTTTTCCGCGAAACAAACGGAGCCTAACTTCAAAGAAAGACCTACGCATGATATGCATGTTCACTTGTACCTCTGATATAAGAAAAACCTGATCTCAGAGGCTAGTCTAGTCATTACGACATTAATGCGATGCTGACTGTGTTTCAAATTTAAAAAAAAAAAGGTCTCCATTTGGCCAATGCTTTCAGCAGATGTTTTGTGATTCATAATCTAAGAAGCAGAAATTAGAGCAAACTTTCTAGCATCTCTTACACATAATCATCACTTGGGAAAGACAATAAATTGACCGTTCTGGGATGAAACAAAATCCTCATTCAATTTTGATTTTTCTTGCTGCACGTATGACATGAGGATAGTAATAATAGTATCACAAATTCCAAACAAGATCTCAAAAGTTTATTGTCTGCATGTCCATCAGAAGTTGCAATCCATAATTTTGGTACTATGATATGTAAACGCAGTTAAGATGGACAAGCACCATCAAGAGCCTTCATCTTTGGCTACATTACAGGTGGCAGTAGGATCGCTTTTAAAGTATGAGACAGAAAAGCATATCTTCCACAGTTTAGAAATGAATAAAAAACAAAGACAATTTTCTTCGCAAAAGGACGAAACAGAAAAATATGAATCCATGACTAAAAAAAATGAAGAGTGGCCGTACTATGTGTGCAGTTATCAAATTACTCTCATAATTAACTAATTAAGTTTTTAACTGCTGCTTGTTATAGATCCAGAAGACCAATTCAAGAATAAATATAGAATGTCTGACACAGTCATTCAGTACCTGATTTGTATCCGCACGAATTCACTGCCATCCTGTATAAGCTTCAACCCAGGCAAAATCTTTATTTCCACCC